TTTGCACTTGAGACGGAATTTGTGTCATTTATTATGTAATTAAAATTGGTAATTGTACCCCTGATATGTTATAATTTTATATCATTTGTATTTTGTATCAATTATTGTTTTATAATTTTGATCATTTTATGCATTGTACACTAATATAAATCTTTTAACTGTCTTAATGACAAAAGTATGTATGTAGTTTTTGTATTTTGCGAATTTTAATCTATTAGCTTGGGACAAAATCCATATCCACTGGTCAGCTGTACCATAAGGATCAACGGAATGTATAAATGTAAATAAATAAATAAATAAATAAATAAAATAAATATATACGGTGCCAAATCCCAGAAGACTGCTTTCTTCGTAGTCACCGCCGTGAAAGCCTCAAATCTTACATAGTGGTACATATTGTTACTGCTGTGGTTTAGAGGGATAAACAAAGTGGCAGTGCTGTGCACACCAAGTGGTTGTATGTGCACAGATGTAATGAACTGTTAGCCACAGTCCTGTGCCAAGCAGAGACATCATGTTCTCTGGTACTACATCACCTCATATGCAGGCTTGGCACCATTATGTTCAGGCATTGCTTTTATTTATATAACTTTTTGTGACATATGGGCCATTTCTAGGAAACAAGTTGGCAAATGCATTGCCATGGAGAGATTGATTCTTGGAAACCCACTGGTTATGAAGCGCATTTCCAAGGATGTGAAAACCAAAAGTTGTAAACATTTGAAAGCCAGACTGTTGCTGCGAGATTGACACACATTTCGTAGCAATGGAAAAAAACAGAATGACAGAGTAACAGACTAACTGTTTGAGGTCTTGGTCTCTCTTCAGTTCGCTCCAAATTATAAAAGAGAGTTCATGAATTCATTCATTGTTTTGTAAGAGAGCTCAGAGTTCAGGAGTTGAGGGTCAGCCAGCTAAGATTCCTTACCAGGAAATGCCTGGTGAAACTTTTCAGAGGAACAGCTGTTGTTGACAATTGTTACCCAGCAACGACTAGTGAAAGCTGATGCAGAAGACTTTGTTTTGTATGCTGTGGTTACAGTAATCTTTAGAGTGCATAAAATAGTGTGCCTGTAGTTATGACCTGCGAGTGTTCAGTAAATCTGTTCACCAATCCAAGTCCTGTCTGTAGTCGGCAATACATGCGCTAATATGAAGAACACAGTCTGCATGTCTTGAGAAGGGTACTGAGCAGAATATTTGGAGCTTTGTGGGAGGATGTGACAGGAGGCTGGAATAAACTGCATAATGGGGAGCTTCATAATTTGAACACTTCAAGAAATGTTATTGGCATGACCAAATCGAGGATGAAATGGGCAAGGCCATATCATGCATGGGAGAGTGAAATATCTACTACATTTCTGTACAAAATCCTTAATGGAAGAAATCCTTTGAGCAACTAGGACTAGATGGAAGGATAATATTAAAATGAAATGTAAGTAAATAGCCTGGGAGAGGGGATTGGATTAATGTTGCTCAGGCGTTGGTACAGTGGCAGTCTCTTGTGAATGAAGTAATGAATCTTTGAGTTACATAACAGGAGGGAATTTTTTTTTTCCTATTATTAACATCACAAGATCTGCTGAGTGGAAGGAGTTAGTCAGAGATTATTTTGAAGTAGAGTGCTTACTTATGTTTTAGAGAATTATACTGCCTCCTGTGCCTACCAAGGAGCCAATGTAAATATCGGTACCCTCATATTAGAGTACATGGTGCCATAATCGAGAGAGCATTATTATTAAGTTCTCAGAATTGTTTGTGATATATACATGGCATGCATCATAGACTAGACATATTTTCAAGTGTACAGGGTTCACTTGTGTTGTTTCTCATAGGGACCCGACCGCTGTTACCAGAGAGTCCGCTGGGTGACGAGTATAAACCAGTGATACAACTCTTCAATTCGTGCACTGAGGAAGATTTCAACAAACGACCAAGTGCTAAGGAAATTGTAGAACAGCTGGAAAAATTGTAAGTTTTGTGTCTTTTTAGCCTACTTTTCTTATTTTGAAAAAAGGCTTATGAGATCACCTTGCATTCTGAGTGTGTGTGTATCTCCATAAGTTTTTTCATTTTCTATGTAGTCTGTATCATAAAAGGAAAGTAGACAATTGGCCATTCTCAGAATCTGTTGCTTGTTTTAACCTCTCACACAGCTCCTCTGACATATATATATATATGAGCAAAATGCATATACATTTGATGTTTTGGAGGTAAGATATCAAACAGACAGTTTAGTTTGTGGTTTTGTAGGTTATGGCATGGTTGAGGTGATTACAGACATTTCCTAGGAAGCTGCAGTTCCCATTTTGATTGTTATGAAGAAGGCAATTTGTCCCCCAGAAATGCACCCACCTACTGGGCCAGTCATAACCCAGTAGACAGCAATTTAAAACCTCGTAAACATGAAAATCTCAGATAAAAAGCAGTTGAGTTTCAACATGGAATTTTCCATTTGGAGTCACTAGTATCTAGCCACGTCCATATTTATACTTGAATGTCTGCTAGGAAATCAGTAGAAACTGACAAACACACAATTTTGTGTGAGCTTGTTCAGCTCGCTTTTTGACGATGAAGATGGATGCAGTACATGTCTCCAAAACCATGGTAAACTTCTAGCGTGGCATTACACCTCAGAAGAGAGTGTTCTTCACACAATTATATGTTTTCTGTGAGATTTGAGAGTCTATCACTGAATAGGTTGGTCTAGCAGTATAGCGCTGAACTTGTATTTTGGAGGTGTTTGGTTCACATCTTGGCCAGTGCACTGGCTATCCTCATTGGTTCCCCTCATCCCTCCAGGCAGGGTCTCGGATAATATCTTGATTGTGTCATGACCAGTCCCTTCCAAATTCCTTCCAGTTTATCATCATACTGTCATATGGCGCTGTGCTGCCTACACACTAACGGTGTTGTAAAGTGACCCACAGAAAGGGAATTGAGTGTCTGCTATTAGTGACTATGTGCACTGCTGTGTAAGTGCCTGTCTACCAGACTACAGGGTGTCACATCCCAGCAGGCAGTAACCTTTATGTATTCTGTAAGTTTATTGAGTTGTTTGAGTTGTGTATTCCAAGGCAGTTCTGTCACTGATTTCAGTAAGAATTCTCTTATAACTTTTTGCCACAGTCCATCTGCAATTTTTGTAAGAGCTGATAATATAAATGAACAACTTATGTGAACATCTGGTATGGATATTGTTATATTATCGTGTCAAGTTGTACATACAAATCTTAAAAGAACTGGCTTTAGCAACGTGTTTCTGAGTTTAACAATCAGGGCAGTTTCTGCCTCTTATTTGCTTACTTCTTTGGCAAGTAACAATTTTCAGCTGCCTTGAGCTCATGATCTTGTTGCAGTCTGAATATTTCTGTCACACTGGCAACCTGCAATGAAACAGAACGCATGGTCAACTGATGTTGTCTCGAAGATGTTTTGGACTTCACATTTAGATTGGATTAGTATTCTATCATGTGAGGAACAGTGAGAAGCCCTATGCACTACTGGTTCTCTTTTGAGCAAAGAAAGCATTTTATTTACCAGTACACACCAAAGATAACCCCAAATAAGATGGCACCATAAAAATCAGGGACTTGCTGTTATTTAAATGTAGCTGCAAGGGCAGACAGGGGTCCTGGCTTGGGAAATAACAAAGTGTAGGAACATGTCACTTCCATGTCTGGAGTTGAAGAATTAGACAAACATAAAACCAGCATGAAGTACGTAGAAAGCGGAGCTTGACTGTCAGTGGACTACATGGTGTTTATATCCCGGAAACTCTTCACATGGTACAGTGCTCAGTATCAGGATTTTAGTATGGAAGGAGTTAAGAAAGAACGTGTGTCACTTGCCTTGCTTTCAATATTTGCCAAAGACTGCTGTGCCATGATCTGACCACAGACATTCTGCATTGCGATGATGGATGCTCGGAGGTTATGGTTCGCCCAAATTACAGTTGAGATGCCAAGTTCTTTAAATCGTTCTGTTGGAGTGAGGTAGTACTTGGTGGGAACAATCACAACTGGACACTTTAAGAACAGGAATAGCATTGATGTAGTTAGACATGTTAGAACATGGATAACATCTACATCGTAGGCTGCTTGCTTATGTTATGCTGGAGTCCGTACACGAAAGATTACTTCATTGTACTTGTTATGTTAAGTGACACAGTAACTGTAAGATGTGTTCATGCCTCCAGACTAATTATGTATTACATGATTCGTTAAGTAGGTAATGACAAATTTCAGCTTGTGTCCTGGGCTGAGACACTGAGTAGCCTAGTAGGTCAGACTAACATTGCACAGGAGCATGTATCCGCCATCCTGCTTCATTTGTATGCTGAATATGAAGGTAGCAGATGCCACCAACCAGACTACACAGTATCACAGCCCAGAAGACTACAAACTGAACCTGAATGCCATGAAAACATTGTATCCATTCTGGAATTGTTTTGCCTCTATGAGAGTCAGAGCTTGTGCTGCGCGCATGTTGTGGCATGATTTCTTTATGCTGCCGTTAGCAGCAAGACTACAACACTGAATGGTAGAATGGCTGACAAGTGCTAAATTGGAAATTATTTGGAAGGATTTGGTTGCAGTCTCATAAATGTACTATCGCAGCATCCCTTCTAGGGGCTACTGAGTAAGATGACAGAAAGTCTGTGACCATAGCTGGTGCCCCAGCTGAGATTCAAGCAAAGCATATCCAAAATAGAAATCTAGAATCTTACCACTATGCTGGGCTGGTTGGTCTGAATGCTTTATACAACTGAGATTAATTTGGAAGAAACTGAACCATTTGAAAGCCAAGTTGAAGGATTTCATTGCTCAACCTAAGACAGATTGTGGCTTCTTATATACCACTTACATCATGTCAAGTATATCAGTTAGTATTGTCAGTGTGTGCTCTGTTTTGCTTTGCAAGTGGTACAAATGCATGTTACTTCAAAATGGGGTCTATCATGGAAAAGGGGTCTGGTCCATAATTTGCTCAAGCTCGTGCACAGTTTGACAATAACTGGATTGATTCTGTAAATCAATATACTATATTGTCAGTAACTGTTGTTGAGTATACTCACATTCAGAAATGTTAAGATTACAGTCTTGTGGATTGTGACATCAGATAGTGTAACAGGTAGATGCCAACATAATGGGGGTACCTAGCCACCACACTACACCGTGTCTCATCTTAGTACTCACCACTGAGAAGACCTCAGTTCGTATTTATTTGATATGATTGCCTTCAGACTGCACAAACATTCCAATATCTGGTAGGAAACATTGTTTGAATAAGAACAAGAACCCATGTTTACTTACTGTTCCCTCTTCCAAAATTTTGCTGTACCATTTTGTACCTCTCACCGGTATATTTATTCAGTTTTGCTACAAATCACGTGTTAACTTACGGTTCTAATAATTTTGACAAACACACTACCAGTAAATCGCAAAGCCAACTGACTCCCACATATTTGGCAAAATGCTTCTGAATCATGTGCTTATGGTCTAGGCAGTTGCCATGCAGATATATTAGTCAGCTGTTTAGTTGCCAGACCTTGTATTTATTTACATTTGTAGGCTGAACCTTGGAAGTCCATAAGTAGGCCAAGACATGCAAAGGTAAACAGATCTGGGGAACCGCTGGAAGGTAATGTGAACCAGTTAGCATGGTCAGCAGGTTACTGTCACTCTAAAGGACACCTGTACAGACTGGTATTGGCTGATGATTGCATTTGCAGGAGGTGTTGAACTCTGATGATATTGCGTGACATGTATTCTGTTGCTCTTACTCCACTGTCAACCCGGAGCTCATGCTTTGGCCCACAATGCTGTTGTAAAATCCTGTCATCAAACTCATTTAATTTATTCAAGGTACGGGAGTCTTGATGGAGTAAATGATGGGTGTGCACAGTAGATCACAATTGGTCATGGTATAAGGGCTGTCATGTGTCCACCATCCCCTGTTATGCTTTGTGGGCTAGTTCTATACCTTGTTTCCCCATTGAGACATGAACGCTTCAATATCAGATGGGTCAGATTTCTTGCTGTGAATGAGAACGGCATCAGCACCGGCATTTCTGTAAGCTTCCGCCCTAGTTAGAGCTTCTTGCAGCCCCCAGCCAGCAATGAAGGCTTCAGTTCTAGCCACCACGCAGAAGTCTGGATCTTGTTGATGGTCCTTGCAAGCCTGCAGCCATTTTAATGTTAATTTGGTTGAGTCCTGTACAGCTATAGCAGGCGTGTGTACACCTTTGGCTAAAGAAATGTTGAATATTGCTGTTTTGTGGCATCTGACACCGCATAGTTTTGTAGATCGTTACTGTTGTTTCGGAGGAACATGCTGTCTCCATCTTCAGGACTACTGCCTTGAAGTTGTTGTCAGTACATTCCTCTTGACATATTGGTAACAATTACCAGATTACAGAGTGTCAGATCCCACAAAACAATAATCTTTGCAATCACTGTTGTGAGAACCTCATATCTCACCCTTACTTGACCTGTTCTCCAAGCCTGAAGATGAAGGCAGAATTTCCTTCAGAACACCTGTGAACTTGTACTGGGCTACATATCATAATATCCCAGGAGATTATACTCTTGAAATTATAATGACAATGAAATGATAGCTTTAGCTTTCAAGGTTTGGCCATGTTATATTTTGAAGCTGTTCAAATGTGTTGGTGTGCATTGTGGTTGCCTTTTTCAGGGTGAATTAGGCAGAAAGTAGATTGATGTATAGGTCTAGCATTGAGAATAAGGGTGAAGGTGTGGAACATAGTGCTATCCAAAGGGCAATGTGCCTAAACCCTGAAAGCGAAAGTTACTCAGAAGGCATATGAGAAGTTTCGACATATGATTCACCCAACCTTTGAAAACTGAGCTTACATGTTATACACAGGAACAGTTTCAATTTGTGACTCAGATAAACTGTGGAAGGTGAAGTTATGTGCTAGACACAGGAGTGTACAACTTGGCAGTAGCACTAAAGCTGAAGTTATGAGCCTTTCTCTTACCTTAATTTTAAGTGCAAATTCCTCAGTGTCTGCCAATGGCTGTTGCCGTCCATCTAGTAATGAATTTGTCTTTGGGAAGCATTTGTCTTCAATGCAGCAGCCTGAGACCCCAGAAAAATAAGCGTTTTTGAGTAGCTGATGCATTTTGCCATGTTTTGAACACTTGTATGTTCCTAGGAACCAGAATTCTCACAATGGGAACTAGCATGAAGCATTACCAGATCTCAAAATATTTGACCCAGAGATGTGCATACTCTCCCAGTTTCTGATATCTCAGTGCAAAACAAGCTAATGTGTACATTAACCCAGTTCTGACATTCAGCCCTGAAATATGGATAAATGGAACCAAAACTGGAATAGTCGTTATGAACTCTTTGAGGAATGCCAAGAGAGAAACAAGAAGAGAAAAATAGGACTGATATTTTTACAGAAGTTTGAATCCAAAATTTATTTAACCGAGTTAGAAGGAAAATGATTGCAGTGGTGTGGCCATGTGAAAAAGAAAAATAGCAAGGAGGACACTAGAATTAAAATTTAGAGGAAAAAGAAGTATTGTATGACCCAGAAAAAGATGGTTCAACCAGGTGCTGAGAGACATCAAGAAGGGAAGAAAGAACTGACAAGAAATTGAAAAAATAAGATTGTGGGAAGGTAGAAAACATTGGGAAGCGCTCATCTGTCGATCTGTATAAAATGGAAATGGTGCTAGAAGAGAAGAAGAAGGAGGAAGGGGGGTGCATTTATGTAACTTTGGAGTCAGTAAGGGTAGAAGAAACATGAAAATCAAATCCAGTAGGCACAGTAATATGAGAAGTGGCACTTTCATAGTATTTCTAATGCAAGCAGCCATTCTTCACCCCGATTTCCCTTAAAAAAAAAGCTTTCCTGAAATAATTAAATTTCCTATTTATTATGACAAATTTATGAATATAGTATATTAAGCTTGAATAATTTTCCAATATTTATTGTTACAGCCATTAATGAATTAAATGGTTCTGAAGCCATGAAACAGGTGGACATTGGTTGTTTTTGTGGCATTGAACATGTTATTGTCACCTAGCAACCAGACCAGTTATGGAGAAACAGAACAGTGTACAGAAGGTGGATGGTAACATACCTGCTATGCCACGGTCTTCTAACTTATGCACCAGTCTTCGTGCATTGTTGAAATTTCCATATCCTGTGTCTGCATCCAGTAGGACTGGGATGTCTGTAGCGTCAGCCATAAACTCGGCTACCTCCAGGATCTGAGTCCACGAAGCTTCATTGCTGTCTCTTATGCCCAGCTGGGCTGAGATGGAAAGCCCACTGCCCCATATGCCCGCAAACCCTGCAGTTTTAGGGTATTTTCAGAAAAAGGCTATGTATGCTGCCTGTGTTGAGAACAATTCTACTGGCTTACCGCACTTAGCATTGGATGGGTTCATGTAACAGTAATGTTGTTTACTTGTATATAGGCAGGGGCACTATGCTACAAGCCGAAAGGTTGCGAGTTAGAATTCCGATAAGGTCATTGGATTTTTCTCAGTTTATCTAATCCCTCCAGCCACACTATGGCCCTGGAGTCAACTCAGCCTCTAATAGAAATGAGTATGAGAACTCTTCTTGGGAAGTAAAAGGCAGCCGGCGCGTAAGGCTGACAGCCTCACCGCCATCTGTGAGCTGATTGCCTAGAAAATGTGGGAGCCTCGACGTCTCACAACCCTATGGGCCTTCACGGCCTGTTACAGGGATAGCTTTACCTTTCACCTTTACTTATGTAGGAGATACTTGGTTCGAATCTTGGCTCAGACACTGGCTATCCTGACAGAATTTTCTGTAGTTTTCTTCATTCCTGCCAGGACAGTGCTGGGATATTGCCTCGATTAGGCCACAACTATTCCTTACCAAGTCCTTTCAAATTCGTCTGTCGTCCTGTCATTCAGTGTTGTATAGTCTACCCACTGGCATCATAAAATAACCCACAAAAGAAAATAACTTATTGTTCTTGGCTCTTTGGTCTTTGACAGTCCAAAGTGTTGCGTTCTGTTTGGAACATGAGATGACAGAGAATGTTCAGAAAGCCAGAAGCAAAAGTGTGTGTCATGTCTGTTGATTACATCACATTTAAACTACTTTTGAACCGGTTGGACCAAATTTATATGAGGTAAGACTTCATTCCAGCGCCACATATTTTGTATCCTTATCATGGTTCATTGTTGATGTTGATTTTGCTCCTGGATATGTGCCCAGTGGGGTTGATGTTTGGGAAGTACATGTTGACTCCTTCTGCAGGGCAACGTGATCTGTAAAGGGCCATGTAATAATTGTTCTCTGTCCCTGTTGGCGCACACAGGGCAGCAATGTGTGCCTTTCCCTC